GACTTATTAACACATGATTAACTCTTTTGTCACGTCGAACAGCTCGCGGTCTACAGTTTGACAACTTTGCCTAGTTACGCTTCCGTAACATCGTAACGTTCTATATCCAAATTCCAAGTTAATAATTGACAACGACGATTTATTTTTCGATTTTAACTCCGTAAAAACAGAACAAATGAAATAATAAATAATAATTGAGTTACTTTAAAATTCAGATTAAATACTTAAATTTAATATCTAAATTTGCAAACATATATGTTTTATATAACTAATCTCTGTGATTTTAAAATCTAAAGTTATATGACAGTAATATATAAATTACTGTAAGATGTCCAGTCTTGTATAATTTAAATTAACGGGCTCGGTTGAAAAAAACTGCTTTTACATTAACTGAAATAAAGCAAATAACTTTTATTGTGTTGGCATTAGTTATAATCGACATTCTTGAATTGATACGAAGATTTTAATTTATCAAAAAGAAGTAATATGTTATTTATAAATTAACTTCATTGTTTTATTTTCTCGATATAGAATTATCAAGGTTCAATCATTAAAATGTTTCGAAATAACTGTAGACGTTTCCTCTTAACGCAAAGGAGAAAAATCAGAAGGCGGAAAGGAGTAATAGTAGTCTATATGGCTAAGGAAAGTTGCTTAACGTAACACGATCTGTTGATACCCTTGTAGATAATAGGCAGACCCTGAATCATAATACATAATAGAGTAAATTATTCAATAATATTTATTTATACTGTTTTTATCTTGTAATTAGGAGCGCATTTCCAAATAACTATTACGAATGTAATCTTCGGGTCTATACAGACCTTATAAGTTATTGTTTTGCTATATTTTTAAGATAATATAAAGTACAGTATAGTAAAAATAACACTGGTCATATCGGAAGTGTTTAATGTGAACATTCTAGTTTAAATTTATCATCCAGCGTTATGTTATACTGTACTTGGTTATTTATTGTCAGTTACTCTAAGTTGTCCGTTACAGCTATGTGCTGTATTATCTTTATTCTTAAATTAAACAGTATATACCACATATTTCATTTTATCTTCATTATTAATGTATTGTTTATGATGCTTAATATGACGTTAATAATATACATATTTGGATATATGTGTATGAAAATGGCAATTAAAAGTTTTAGATTTAAGAATGACAAATAGCCAGCTAAAAGCAATATGGATGGCTCCTCAGCTGTTTATTTATTTATTGATCCGCTGTTGTATCAGTTTATTTACTAAATAAATTTTATTAAATATTTCTTCATTAAAAATATGGAGTTTTATTCAGCAAAAGATAAAATAATTCTCAGTAGATTATACGACTACTTTCGAATAGCGACTGTAATTAGATAATTAGACTTGTAAAATCATTAGTTTATATATTAGCAATTAGTTGTGAATTATGCCATTACATCAAACAGTACTAATGGCAGGAGCTCGAATTCCAATCCTCCTCAGACGGCATCCCGCTACGCTGACCCCTTCGGAAAAACTGAACAATTCAAGCGAAAGAGTAAATTGCTTTCTCTCCGCCAACCGTTTAGGCTTTCACGTTAGTGAACGTAGTATTATTTTCGGAAGATTCCTAAAATATATCAAAAATTGCTAAATTCCTTTTCTGCTACCTTCCCAATTAAGCGAAAAATTGTCCAAGTAGCATTTAAGTTATGAAATAATTTGGTTTCCGTTCTTTGAGATTATGTTATTTTTATGTACGTTTCTTCACAAAGCTATATTTAATTATAATTTTCTTTAAAAGTATATTGATACAATTGAAGAATATTTTGTACCAGGTATATCCACCACACGTTTTATTTCACCGAGTAAGTTTTTATTATTTTATTTTTAATTGTAGCCCTTATATCGTGGTTAGCGATTCGGAATGTAATTGCGATATTAAAAATACATTTAGAGAAGTCTACGGTTTTTACCGGCTTATCGAATAAACGATACGAATGGACCCTAGACCGTCACTGATGCGTGATTGACTGATTGCCCCTGGATGTCGGCTTCTTACAGAAACACAGCTTCCCTATTATCAAATGTCACGGCACGCCACTGCTGGAGGTAGAGTATTGGACGATGACAATCGGCAAACGGGACATTCCAATTTTCAACGCGAGTGTTGGGTGTTGAAGTCAACAGTTTGACGTCATCAACGACGTTCCAACTCGAGTATGAAGTGCTTAGTTCCCATAATTCCATTCTCAGCAAGATGGAGGACAAGTGTATTATTTTGTCTGCTGTTACAGCATTTTGCAATATTTTTAATGACAACGCGATGATTTCATACAAAAGGAAAATGAAACACGACGACGACGAACTGCTACATGTAAATATAGCAGCTATGGAAGAAAACATAAAGAGAAAGAAGGCCGACATAATAATAGGATACGTAGAAGAGATAGTTCCTATGTATTCCATGGAAGATTTTAAATCTCACTTTCGTTTGAGTCGTTCAACAATTGAGGTATGTTAAAGTGCTTAATTATAATTATCTGTTTAGTTTGTCACATATTTCACTGTATTTTACCTAAAATATTTCGTTTATGTATATTTCGTAATGAAACTATATTTAAGCAATAATCATTTTAAGAAATTTTATTTTTATTTCAGCATTTGATGCAGATGATTGTTTCGGAGCCTACTAAAAGAAAGCCAGCAATGAAAAGAGAAGATTCCATATTGTTATCGTTATGGTTGATTGGCAACCAAGAATTATTTCGAGGTGTTGCTGACAGATTTGGTATTGGACAGGGCCATGCCCACAGAGAATTTGTTGCATTCTGTAAGGATATAATGCAAATAGCAGAGAGAGTTATCCAGTGGCCTACAGGAAAAAAAATTGAAAAAACTGTTAAAGAATTTAATGAACTGAGAGGGTGCAACAGTTTTCCTGAAGTTTTAGGCTGTATTGATGGAACTCATATTCCATTTACAGCCCCCAAAAATAAAAAGGTTGCACATTTCAACAGAAAAAATTTCACTTCTGTCATTCTACAGACTGTATGTGATGCAAAATTAAAATTTATAGATGTCTTTGCTGATTGGCCAGGCTCATAAAATGATGCCAGAGTTTTCCAAAGAAGTCCTCTCTTTCTAAAAATGAAACATAATCCTGAGATGATTTCAGAAAATTATCATTTATTAGGTGATAGTGCATATCCATTATCCAAAAAATTATTAACTCCTTATCGTGATAATGGACACTTAAACAATATTAAAAAATATTACAATAAAATTCTTAGTTCAACTAGAATTGTTATTGAACAAGCATTTGGACAATTATTTGGCAGGTTTAGAAGGCTGAAATATCTACATATGTTTCGAAGGGATTTGATTCCAGAAGTGATTATTACTGGCTGTGTATTGCATAATTTGTGCATTTTATACAATGATATACCGCCAGATGCTTCTGCTATAAATGGTAATTTTGAAAACAGTTCTCAGAATTTTGGAGAAGAGTATCAAGATGGAATTAGCAAAAGAGAGAAAGTTGCTAATAAATTATATGCCAATCATAATGGTTAAAAAATATCTACTTTTATTTATTTTTCTCTTAATACATTAAAATCAAGTTTGTAATTATTATTATTGTCTACTGTTATGTTGTGAATTTTTAATCATGATGATGAGTGAAGATCTTATTGCCGTTCCTTCCCAACTCCGTCTCGTTGAGTTGGTTTCCTGTGTATCACGACTCGGTGTAGTGAATCGGGTTCGTTGGAAAGCACACCTCCACACTCAAATTGAATATATTCACAGTTTATTTACAGTTATAGAAAGTACAAGTTAGAAAACATAGTATATGTACAAGATAACCATACGTGGTGATTCACGTGCCAGATTGGCGTCTGGAAATTAATAACCTTTGGACAGACCTCAGTCAGCTTGTGGAGTCGGTTCAACTGCACGGTCGGTCCGGTCTCGGCACTAACCCGTCCCTGAGATGATTAACAGAGGAGAACACTCTCTCTACGCTCAGCGGGCTTCCCAAGTGCCTGAGATTACCCTATACCAGTCTCTTGCCCTTCTTCCCTTCCTCTCTCGTTCGCCCCGCAATTTAAGGGTTTTTTGGACGGGACTTCCAACCAATCACAACCCCTTCTTGCCCGAACAGCTTACACTCGGGTCCGCCGTCATCCGACGAGAGTGAAGCTTACACAAACGTCCGCCACTTGTTTACGTTCGTTTGTTTACCATATGGCAAATGTACTACCGTCTGACTGCAGGTGGGTCCAATTAACAAAGCCGGCGCTTTCTTTGTTTTCCCTTGTTTACAAGTCAATACCTTATAAGTGGTATTACCCGACCGCACGTGGGTCCAATTGACAAGGTCGCGCCTCTTTTGTCCCCACTCTGCTAAAAGGTCACTACAGATGCCATGTTCAGCTGCATTTATAATGTATAATTTAAACAAAATTTTATTAAATATTTGAACCAGTTTCAAGAAAAGTATTAATCATGTATTTAACATTTTGTTACTACTTTTAGTTATTTGTAATTGTGAATTACATAATTCTAATAAACTTTGTTCATTATTGAAAGTGCTTTCGTTTTTTGAATAGATGTATTTTGGTAAATCTTAAATACATTTATGAGTCATCGAAACAAAAAAAATTTTATTAAAATATTGAAATATTTTACATTTTCTTATTTTCTGCCAATTTCAACAAAACATCCGTTAATTGTTTCATGGCGTTTAATTTCTCTTCTTCTATTTTTTTTAAGTCAGTCCATCGTTTTTCTTCAATTTCTGCTTTTTTTTTGTCTTCTATTTTTTTTTCTTCTAAATATTTTTTAAACCACAATAGTGGTTCATCACAAGTTCGTTTTTTCTTTCGCGGTCTTTCAGTTTCTGTTTCCCTTTGAGAATTGGATGTGCTTGGAGCAGAAATTAAATTCTGCTCCAATTCTGCTCCAGAAATTAAATTATTTTCATGTGGTTGAAAATTGTTTCGAGAGGTATATGACAAAGAACTTCTAAGGGGATCCACATTTGGTCTATTTCCATAAACTTCGTGAAATTTATGGAAATATTCCCATTTTACGGTACCCCCACCAGACTCTTTTGTTCTGTCTACATTTTTTCTATAGGTACACATTAAATTTCGCCACTTAGAATGGCATTCTGTGGCGTGAAATGTGTACCCATTTTTTTTCAAAGAGTCAGAAATCCTTTGCCATAATTTGGATTTCTGTATTGGCTTGAGGAATTCTTCTTCCATTTCTATTCTTGTATTTATTAGAAGAACAGTTGCTTGGCGAGTCCATTCATTAGCTTAAAAATTACAAAAAAAATCTTTATTTTGCATTCTTATATAGTTTGCTATAATTTATTATTTACACAAAATTTTTAACATGATATCTGATATAATATACATATTATAGGGATTGTATACCGGTTTACCGATTTACCGGTTAACCGATAAATTGACAAAAAAACATTCGGTAAACTTACCGGTAAATTTTTGAAATTTAAATACCGGTAATTCGGTAAATGAAAAATTCATACTAAAAATTTTTATGGACAAAGTATTGTGTTTATAGATATTTAAAAGGGTTAAAGGGATATTGAAAAAAAAAAAACAGATAAGTGTAAGCAACAATATACCTAATTATTAATTTTATGTGAGATACTTTTTGTTTAATTTTAATTTAAACTTTATTGGGTTTGAGAGGCACTGTAAATTGTACAGAAAGCTCTAGTTAGCATATGTGATTTGTGCTCTGTCGTTTTTTGAGATTTTTAGAGGTTTAAAATCTTTACAATCAACGTTTTTCTTAAAGATTAAGTAAATATCTTTTTTTTTTTAATATTTAAAAATAATAATACGTAAATGTTTCTTGTACTTTTTAAATTAATAGCAATTTTGAATACACCACATCATGACAGGACATTAAAGCAATATTATTGCAAAATAACATTAAAATTTGTACCTTAAATAAATTTTTTACTTCTAACAACTGTTTAAAATAATTAAATACAAATATTTATTACAAGATTCTAACATTATGCCTTAAGATTGTGCAAAATATGTATTATTCTAACCTTATTTTCGTGGGGAAT